GCACTGTTGGGAATTGTGACTTAGTCCATCCCGAATAACTATTTTATCGTGTATTTGATTGAAAATTGTTTGGTATCATCATGTTTTGGGCTGAATCCCATATTTGGGCCTCGTGCCAACTATTTGGACCCTTAGGGATTTCTACTGCTATTTCCTCATTGTTTTGATTTTATATCTGTACTCAGTCATGTTATATCCTACTGTTTTCATAACTTAGTCATGTTTACTTTGTTTTAATATTTTAAATGATATTTTGGGCTAAGCATAATGTTTTACTGTGCCCGAGTGGCTTTTAGAGATTTCTGACTGAGTAGTGCCGAGGACCTATGTTATGAGGATTACTATGGGATCGGGCTGCACGCCGCAGCAGTGTTGTATTGATTATGATTATGAGGCCGAGGGACTGAGTTGTACGCCACAAGGTGGCTTGATATGAGGCCGAGAGCCTATTTGATTATTCCACGAGATGGCTTGATATTGCGTTTGGGCCGTAAGGGTCCCATCCCAGAGTCTGTATACCCCAAGTGAGTGCGGGTACCCATTGTTATATGAGATATAACCCTAGGGGTTGGTGTTGTTCCATATTATTGCCCAAGGGGCTGATTATGTTGATATTGTGCCCGAGGGGCGAATTTTATGTGTTTATCTTTTCTAGCTGCCCTTCATTTACTTGTTTAACTGTTAAAAAAGTATTTTAAAGAAGCTTATTTTGAACTAAGGTGTTTTTATAAGATTTCATTATTTCATTGCCTTTTATTGGTTTTACACTGCTTCTTTATAGCATGTTGTTGTGTTTTACGTGATTTCTTATCGCTCAGTCTTCATTTATTATTATTACTCACGGAGTTGGAGTACTCACTTTACTCCCTGCACCATGTGTGCAGATTTAAGAGCTTCAGGTCCCGCCAATGAGGGTTAATTGCTCAGCAGGCTATTCGGAGTCCACTAGGTAGCTGCTCGGCGTTCGCAGCCCAGTGTTTCTCCCTCCTATTTTATTTACCTTGTTCTAGTCATGTAATAGATTATATAAACTCTTTCAGACTCTTAGACTATGTTAGATGCTCATGACTGGTGACACCCCGATATCGGGCTGTGTTTGGTTTTTCGCAGTTGATATAGTTCACTCTATTATAGGATTTATCATTATTAATGACTTAATTATGAATTATTATCTGTTAATTTAATGGGGGTTTGTGTCGGCTGGCCTTGTCTTCACGAGAGGCGCCATCACGGCCAGGTCTAGGTTTAGGGTCGTGACAAGTTGGTATCAGAGCCTATGTTACATAGGTCTCACGAGTCATGAGTAGGTTTAGTAGAGTCTCGCAAATCGGTACAGAGACGTCTGTATTTATCCTCGGGAGGCTACAGAACCTCTAGAAAAAACTTCATATTCTTGAAATTCTTGTTGTTCGAATATGTTGATCCGAGTACTAAACTTTTGTTATTCTATTCTCTCACAGATGGTAAGGACACACGCTACCGGACAGGATGGACGACCACCAGTACCACCAGTTGTGGCCACTAGAGGCCAAGTACGTGGACGTGGTCGCGGTAGGGGCAGGGGTGTGGCCCGCACAACAGCTAGGGCAGCACCTACAGATCCACCAGCCGCCCCAGTTCAGGATCACATCCCAGTTGTAGACACTCCAGCAGCACCAGCTTAGGCACCAGCTGTGCCCATTGTGATTCCGAGTTTTTAAGAGACCTTGGCTCAGATTCTATCAGTATACACTGGCCTAGCTCAGGCGGTCTCAGTTACTACAGCCGTAGCTACTTCTCAGGCTGGGGGAGGCACTCAGACTCCCGCCACTCACACACCTGAGTAGGTCGTGCATGGACTTCAGACACTGGGGGCACATCCAGCCCAGCTGGTTGCAGCTGCTCAGGACTATGTAGCTCCTGCCAAGCCAGAGGACAAGCAACGCAGGTTGGAGAGGTTTGGTAGACTTCAGCCTCCGACTTTTAGTGGTGCAAAGGGCGAGGATGATTAGGGTTTCTTGGACAAGTATTAGAGAATTCTTCGTACAACGGGTATTCTGGAGAGCAACGGGGTCGCTTTCACTACTTTTCAGTTTTCTAGAGCTGCCTTCACTTGGTGAGAGGCTTATGAGAAGCGTAGGCCTGTTGGTGCAGCACCCCTTACCTGGCAGCAGTTCTTCGTTCTCTTTTTGGAGAAGTATGTGCCATAGTCTCGCAGAGAGGAGCTGCACAGGAAGTTCGAGTGGTTACGTCAGGGAGAGATGACTGTGATGCAGTATGAGATAAGGTTTTTGGAGTTAGCTCGTCATGCTATTTTGTTGGTTCTGACAGATAGAGAGAGGATTAGGAGGTTTGTTGATGGCCTTACTTATCAGCCTTGTATTCTTATGACCAGGGAGAGTGTGTTTGGTGCTACTTTTAAGAAGGTTGTTGACATTGCTCGTGAGATTGAGTTGGTTCTTCGCCAGGAGCGAGATGAGAGGGAGTCCAAGAGGCCTCGAGGATCTGATAGTTATGGTGGTGCTCCTTCGAGAGGTCAGTTTCAGCACGATAGAGGTCCTCCATTCGGGCATGCTCAGCCAGCTCACTCAGGTTATCGTGGGGCATCATCGGGTCATGGTTCTCATAGTTCTCATCAGGGTCAGTCATCACTTAGTGCCCTTCCATCTCAGAGTTCGTCCTGTGCTCCATCAGTTTAGGGCTCTTTTATGCCAAGTGCATCTGCTAGTCATTCCGGTGCTAGGGGTTCCCTTCAGTCCCCGTCTCTATCACCTGGGAGTTGCTATGAGTGTGGAGAGATGGGTCATATGTAAAGGCAATGTCCTTGTCGTCTTGTGGGTCCATCTCAGCAGATGAGTCAGCCATCGGCTTCAGCGCTAGTTACTTTACCACCACCCACCCACCCAGCTAGGGGTGGAGGTCAGTTAGCTAGGGGTCTCCTTAGAGGGGGAGGTCGATCAGGTGGCGGTCAAGCCCATTTCTATGCACTTCCAGCTAGACCCAATGCTATTGCTTCAGACGTCGTGATCACAAGTATTGTCTCAGTCTGTCACAGAGATGCCTCTATATTATTTAATATTGTTTCCACTTATTCTTATGTGTCATCATACTTTGCTCGTTATTTGGATATGCCCTGTGAGTCTCTTGTTTCACTGTTCATGTATCTACTACGTTGGGCGATACTATTGTTATAGACCGTGTGTACCGGTCGTGTGTGGTGACTATTGGGGTCTGGAGACCCGAGTGGATCTGTTGTTGTTATGTATGGTAGACTTCGATGTCATATTGGGCATGGATTGGCTATCTCCGTGTCATGCTATTTTAGACTGTCATGCTAAGACAGTGACATTGGCTATGCGGGGTGTGACACGGATTGAGTGGCGTGGTTCGACTGATTATGTTCCTAGTATGGTGATCTCATTCTTGAAGGGCAAGCATATGGTTGGGAAGGGTTGCCTTTCATATCTAGCCTTTGTGAGGGATGTCAATGCAGAGACTCCCAGTATTGATTTTGTTCCAGTTGTGAGGCCTTTTCCGATGTGTTTCCTGCAAACCTGTCGGGCAGGTAGCCGGATAGGGATATTGATTTTGGTATTGATCTGGTGCCGGGCACTTGGCCCATTTCTATTCCACCATATCATATAGCACCAGCGGAGTTGAAGGAATTAAAGGAACAGCTTCAGGAAACTCCTTGATAAGGGGTACATTCGGCCTAGTCTTTTTTAAGAAAATATTTTTTGTTTGAATTTTCATTTATTTTCTCTTTTTCTAAAGAAGAAACAAAATATTTTTGGATTTTGGATGTTGCCTCTTAATTTTCGAAAGAGGAAACTTTTAAGAAAATGTTTTGGATTTCTGAGTTTTTATTTATTTACAAAAGCACTTCTAAAGAAAAGCAAAAATATTTTTGGACTTGGCAGAGTGGGTATATTTCACTCTCCCAAAGGAAAGTGGGAAGCAAGAAAAAACGATTTTCAGATTATTTTTTATTCCTTTTTACCATTTTTTCTTGCCTTTTTTTTCTCTTTTCCTTTTTCTTATTCTTTTTTCTTTTACTTTTTTTTCGTTTCTTCTCTAATTCCGGCGGATATTCATTCATCGGCGACTTTGTCTAACTGTTTTTCTTTTATTTTTTTTTCACACACAATTAAACTCTCAAAAAGATCTATTCATAAGCAAAACAAAATACACTCNTTGGGGGGGGGGGGAATTCATCATCGGAAAACCTTCCCACACCGGAAAAAAAAATGATGTATTGAAATTTTAACTGGAAAAAGTTTTCTCTGCTTATATTCGTTTTTATTTCTTTGCTCTTTCTCCCATACATAAATTACACTTTAAAAAAATTATATATATAAAAAACAAAACACACTTAGATCGGGGTAAAATTTTGTTGCCGAAAAAAAAAATTCACCGAAAAAAATTGTGTTTGTGAAATTTCGATGACCACCATTTTATACTACCGGTGACCAAAACAAAAAGAAAGAGAATGAAATAACCAAAAAAAATGAGAATAATAAGAAATAAGAAATAAGAGAAAAAGGATAAGAAAAAGAATAAAGAATAAAAAAAGTACTAAAAATACATGTGGGGACGCGTGTAACTCACCACTTGCCAAGAGTTTGGTTGTCGGTGTTAAGGGTGCAAATAATTTCATTTAAAATAAGTTTAGGGGGTAATAGGATTCCCACAAAGAAAAAGTGTGTAGTTGAAAATCCGGGTCTAAGTCAAGGGGGTACTTATGCATTTTCCCTTCAATAAAATTGCCGCTAAAACTCGTCTTTAACAACAATTATAATGGCGGCAATATTCCCGATGGAAACATCATAATTTGTCTTTTTATCATCAATTTTTATAATCGGTATATCCTGTTAAATTGGCACTAAAAGTCACCAACTTTAATGACAATAGTTTAGCCACCATTAACAATAGCTACACACTTTTTTGAAATATGATCTAAATAATAAAACATATTAATATTGATTCATAAAAACATAATGTATTTTATTAAATCTTAACAAACAAAAGGAAGTAGTGATCCAAAATATTAATATCATAGTAACTTAAAAAATAAACTTATATTTTTTCAAGAAAATGGCTAATGTCATTATATAACAAATCCTAACGAATAAGTCTTCAAATAATTTCTGCAACACTTCATCTTATTGAAATCTTCCACCCGCTAAATTATGAATCATCAGACTGTATGACCTGAAATTACAAAATAATTATGTCAAGGAGATGAAATATAATAGTCTTCAACTAAGATATTTATCGAGCAAAATTATTAAATTTATGTATCATGGCATAATTGTTTGATATAGAACGACAATGCTCGATATAATATGTAAATTCAACTCTATGTGGGCAGCAGAATAGAAATAGTTATATTCTATGTTATAAACGTACCTAAAGAGCATGTAAATCCTTTAAATTTGCCAGCATTTTTCCTTTACAGCAACACTTTCTCGTGGTGAAAAAAAACAGCACACTTTCTCATAATTAACAGAAGAGCAACACTGAAGTGCTTAGCCATATAACAAACACAAACTACAACAAAGATAGACCGTTGGCATATAGCTGAAGTTCTTAGCTTCACAATCACTAGTCTTTCAATGTTCTCAGCTTCATAAGCAGAATTTGAAGGGATTTATCAGAATTTTATTGACCTTCTTAAGGCTCAAATTGTGTTGTTATTCTCACTAAAATAAGGTCAAACTCACTGAAGATCGTAAGCAATTTACATCTAAGCTTGGAGAATATGTATTGCTACTACTTCTTTTCATGTAATTTCTATTGATCTATATATAGAATCTCAACTATGGTCTCCTTACTTTCTCAGTTTTCCCTAAGGTCGCCATCTTAATTTTGCATTTCCTTCTTTTGTTTCCTTAAAAGGATATTAATCAAGTGATTCCAGATCTTCAGAAAAGGCAAAAATGCTTTAAAATGTTCTGGATGGTATTTCAACTTAATCATCTAATATGGACTATCAAGGCCACTGTAAGCCCCTAGTAAATTTGTTTGGATTAACTGATATATAATATGGACAATCCTATACCATAAAGTTTAGAAAGAAAAAAAAGAGTAAGGACCTATGGATATTGTTTCCATTTCTTGCAAGTTTAGATGAACTTGCGGAAAAACACATTTGATGCAGCTTCTATCAATGTGGTGGCATTATAAGGCTATGAATATAGTTGCAAACTTCATGTGGCAAAAGTATACAGAGAGAACATTAAGAAGTTGGTTGTTTATTAAGAAAAGTGAGCTAGATCAATGAGCTAAGAATTGATTCACAGTTCTCCCAGGCCCCAAGAATTTTACAGTATGATACTGAACATGATGGCTTAAGAATTATATAAAGCAGCCATGACAATTGTTAAAAATATCAAATTACTGATAAAATGAGAGATACACAAGTTTTAACATAACAAAAAAGGCATACATAAAGGGACTAAAGATATTACCATATTTCTTTATGCAACATCATTTTATGACAGAACACTACTATAGAACTATAGCCTTTATAACATCAAAGCAACATATGCAACGACTAACAAAAGAAAAGCAAGCAAATGCCTTCAGTAGACAACTAATAAACTTGATAGATATATAGAGGCTACACACTTTATTTAATTCTGCAAACTTTAAAATTAATGTAATTCACTCACCCTTAAGAGTAAGTACTCTGAATGCTAAAGGTGTCGCTTCCTATCGTGAACTCCCCCTGAAGAATTGCACTGAAATGCTTGATTATTTCCACCAAAGCATGACCGGATTTTCTTAGCCAAAGCATGACCGAATTTTCTCTGCCAAAGCATGAATAATATCTTGAATTAACAAAACATGATTAGTTGAGTAGCTAAACTAATTATAAGTTTAATCATCTATTATATACTATTTATCATTGTATTTTATACATGACCGGATTTTTTTCTTCCAAGGGGCTTTTTAATGTGAAAATTAGTGGAGTCCATCTCAGGTTATCCACCACTATGCCGTCAAAAGACCCTGCAGAAGTTAAAAATCCTAATAAATCCAATTTACAAAAAAAAAAAAAAGTTTACACCCCAAATAAAACAGAGCTGGAGAAAGTCAACATTCTATTTTGTTCTAAAACATTTCCATGAGAAATCCCTAATCCACAACCCTAACTCCTTTTTTGAACTCAGGTAATTGAAGATATTTCGCAAATTTTTCAATGTAGTCAAATATAGTCAAATTGTGTGATATTCCTCTAAATAAGTAAATGACATGAATAGAATGAAATGGATATAGAAAATTAACATAAAACACACCCAATTATTTTGAGATTGAGGAATAGTTAATGATTTTAGAAATTATCATGAAATAAAATATAGGAACAAGTTAAAAACAATACCAAATATACTTCAATCAGATGTACGTACCCATCCGAATGAATATTACCCTTGACAGAAAAATTAGCAGAAGAGTCTAACTTAGTAGCAGCAAACACAGACTTAGCAATCTTTTCTTGATCATTGACCAGCTCCATAACAATATCAGGTTTAAAATCCACAAACCTCCCAAGTTTGAACTCTACATTTGTCCTTGAATTCCAAATACTACCACGCTTAGGATACAAAGGAAGAATAAAAGAACTTTTGAAACTATTATTATCATCACGGTCCACATCTCTTAATTCAAAAAGGGTCTCTTGTGAAGGTGAAGACCAGAATGATAAAGCAATTATAGAGATACCCAAAAGTCCAAGAACGATTCTTGGGCAAAAAAGGAATGATCTTTGTAAAGGAACATGAAAAAAGTATGTGTTTGAATCTTGTTGTGGAACTGAAGATTGACTTTATTGTGGTAAACGATCAGAAGTTCGAGTTGCTGTTATGGATGACTACGATGTCTATGGCACAAATATTTTAATATCCTAAGTCATAAAATACTGCATAGTGCATCACCCTAATCTTGGAACAAAGATGCAGGCGCCATGATTTATTTCTTTCATCAAACAGAATATTCAAAAGGATTTGAAATAGTGACTATTTAAGTGAAATTATTTTCATGCCCTTGAATGGACATTGCTTAGATCTACTAAAGATAATATTGAAGAATAAAAGAACAACTGAATAAATAACATACTTGTCAGGTGCAATTTCTATCATGTGATAACTGAAGCATTTTGTGCATAGTATTAAAACTTCAAAACTAAAAATAACTATACCATTCCAAGTTATATCTAAAAAACAAGGGCCTAATTTTGAGATCACCAACTCTTTGAAATAATATTTTTCACGAGCAATAGCCCTGCTGTAACTTTCCAATGAGACAATCTTCAATTCTATATCAGAAGCCATCATCAAAGACTAAAAGTGCGAAAGCAATTACTAGAGAGCATTTTCAACAAGTTCCCACTTTTACTTCTGCATTAGCTTACATTAAAGAGTGTACAAAGAACAATTTCAAAATGATGCAAAAGAAACCAACGAGTTGGTATTGAACACCGAAGTATTTGATCCAATAGTTAATATGCGGCTACTCCAATTCGATAATGTGAAACTAGAGAGAAATTTGGGAAAATTACCTGCTTCACTAAAACGGTTCCAATGGAAAAGATGCGCACTTTCAAGATTTTATTCTGATTATTATCCAAGTGAACTTACCATACTTGATCTCTCAGAGAGCCAAATAGAGAGGTTTGGAAACCGAGAATAGACTAGACACGCAAGAAGGTATGTTTTACGTGTCATGCTAATGAAATACTGATTGTACTTTCAATTATAAGCTTTTACATTTTTGACATATATAATAAATTAATGTCAAGTACTTGCTGATTTAAGGGTGATACTCTGGCAATAAAGAAGCTAAAATATGACCTTATCAAAAAAAACTAAAATATCTCTTCATCTATGATCAATTATTATTATTATCAGAAAAATTGAGCAGAATAGTATATTAGAGAGCTCCTAAAGGGAATTCATAATGACAGAACTTTAGTTATATAGTATTTGAGTACCTGAATTGCATCATGTGGTTGATGAAAGTCCTGATACGCTCTCAGAGGTATTAACGAACTATACGTATAATGAGGCAACAAAAATGAAACCTATATTTGCTATTCCTCAAATTTCCTCCTAGATTGTCCTCTATTCTAAACAACAACAACAACAACAACAACAACAACAACAACAACAACAACGACCCAGTATAATCCCACAAGTGGGGTCTGGGGAGGGTAATATGTACGCAGACCTTACCCCTACCCCGAAGGGTAGAGAGGCTGTTTCCAGGAGACTCTCGGCTCAGAAAAAGCAACAGGAGCCGATATATTAGTACCATAAAAATGCATAATAAAATAACAGCAATATAAGAGATATGAAATACAGAATACGAAATACGAAATAGATGGCTGGTATAGTAAAACTAGCAGGTAAAGCCCTGCATCAATAGACGACCAATGACATTCTTAGTCTAACTCTTAACTGGCTAGTCTCACTCTATTGTGCTGTAGAAATATTCACAACTTTCCCCTAACCTACAACCTTAATGCTCGACCTCCATAATTCCCTGTCAAGGGTCATGTCCTCAATAATCCTAAGTCGCGCCATGTCTTGTCTGATCACCTCTCCCCAATACTTCTTAGGTCGCCCTCTACCTCTCCGTGTTCCCACTACAGTCAGTCGCTCACACCTCCTCATCGGTGCATCAGTGCTCCTCCTCTAAATGTGCCCGAACCATCTGAGTCTTACTTCCCGCATCTTGTCCTCCATGGGGGTCACGCCCACCTTCTCTCGAATATCTTCATTCCTAATCTTATCCATCCTTGTATGCCCGCACATCCACCTCAACATCCTCATTTCTGCTACTTTCATATTTTGGATGTGTGGGTTCTTTACCGGCCAACATTCAGTTCCATATAACATGGCAGGCCTAATCACTGCTCTATAAACTTACCTTTTAGTAACGGTGGCACTTTCTTGTCACACAATACTCCCGACGCTAACCTCCACTTCATCCACCCCACTTCTATACGGTGTGTGACATCCTCGTCAATCTCCCCGATCCCCTGAATAACCGATCCAAGGTACTTGAAACTACCCCTCTTGGGAATGACTTGAGAGTCAAGCCCCACTTCAAATCCCGCTTCCGTCGGCTCAACTCCAAATTTGCACTCGAGGTATTCCGTCTTCGTCTTTCTCAACTTGAAACCTTTAGACTCAAGAGCATGTCTACAAATCTCTAGCCTCTCGTTGACGCCGCCTCGTGTCTCGTCAATTAGAATAATGTCATCAGCAAATAGCATGCACCATTACACCTCCCCTTGAATATGATGAGTCAGTGCATCCATCACCAGGGCAAATAGGAATGGGCTGAGCGCAGACCCTTGGTGCAACCCCGTAACAACTGGAAAGTGTTTAGAGTCGCCTCCTACTGTCCTCTATTCTAAGGAGGGACATAAAACAATTGAAATGCTATATGCTAAGTATGAGCTTATATTTCCAAATCTTCAACCTCAGAGCTCATCACAAAACTAGGAAATGCTAAATTTATGTCCCTATAATAAAGCAAGGCCACTTGTTAAGTAACAATAACCTAGCTATTCAATTTTTTTTTTATAAAATGCAACTAAATGCCTTATAACTTACTTCAGAGAGGGAAGGGTCATATTCTTTAGAAGAGAAGGATTCTTTGAAGCAAACTCCTTCCACTCTTCTGGATCTATCTTCCTGTCACCCTTTTTATCTGCTTTACAAAATGTGTGGTGCAATCGCCATGTCCCCCTACCTTTATATACGTCAGAGAGAGCGCAAGAGAGAGAAACAAGAAAGTTACAGCCAAAGATAAAAGAAAGTGGTGGTAAGATTAAGATGACTCCACAGAGAATAATGCAGTTTTTCTAATTTTTCAAAGCCCTTTTTGAAGCATTTGAGAGTCTTAGGGTTTTGTTCCCTTTTTGGTAATCTCACATTGACCAGAAGCTCTAGTAGTAATATGTTTTCCTATTGTTTTCTAATTAGAGGGAATGTAATTTCTTGTCTAAAAAAGTTGGAAGGAAATATTTTCTTCTTTTTGTAGGGAGGAAAAGTTAAAATAATAATAAAAAAAATTCAATTAGTAATTTTTAGCGGTAATTTTATTTTGTCGGTAAAAGGAAATCTTTTACTGGCTAATGGTCATGTGCCGCTAATATTTTACCTTGAATAATTCATTAGCGGCAATTGTCTTATTGCCACTAAATAATTGCCGTCAAAGACTTTTTTTGTACTAGTGTCCTTCCAGACATATTCATGTTCATTACAAATCATCACAGTCAGAATTTAGGTAGATGAATAAAATCTCAAAACAAACTAACCAAATTTCATTTATAAATTCAAGTAAATACGGATAGGTGGATATGTACATACCTAAAGGATAAAACGGGAGAAAAATGACCAAATAAAAGTCTCGAACCCGAAGAACCAAGCTCAGCCACATCGAACCAGCAGAGACAATGATTTCTTCATACACAGACAACTTCTTTTTCTTAAATCCAGAAGGTTTGAAACAAAAGCTAGAAATTAATAATAACTTTGCATCCTTTTTTGGGGGTTTATTTTCTGTTTTGGTCTTTTATTCTTCAGCAGAAGAGCAGCAGCTATTCTCTTAGGGGTTAGGTCTCTCTTATCGTCTGTTTGTTCTACTCTATCTGCGTATATGTGTGTGTTCTCATGTGTGCTCTGTTTTTCGTTTCTATCTGCAAATCCCTTTGTTTTTGTCGTCCTTGTGCCTATGGAGAAGATGAAAGCTCTTGTAATTAATTTTTTTCTTTGGCTCTATGTGGCTGCTCGTTAGAGATGGAAAATTAGAAGGGGCATTGAGTTGTGGCTATCTGTTTGGAGAAGATATCATTCGAAAGGATTAGGGATGAGGCGTCGTTGTTCATTTAGGAAAGGAGGAGGGGGGTCTAAAGTGTGTTTTTTCTCTTAGCTCTAATGTGTTTTTATATGTAGGGGTAGAGTTTTAATAAAGGGTAATGGGTATTTGGATAGTGCTATTGGAATTGGGTTGGGGTTTAAAATTAATTTGGGTCTTTAGGAATTGGCCCAATTTTAAAAGAAACAAGACCAAAAATATATTTTTCCTATTTTCCTTTTCTTTAATCAATTAAAATCCTAAATCAATCTATCTTTTTAGAAATTAAAATTCTTTATTCATTTTTAACACTAAAATAACTAATTAACTTAAAACCAAATACAAAATGCTAATTTTAAAGACTAAATTCTAAATATGTAAAAATGACTATTTTTATGATTTTTTCCTTAATAAAATTAACTCCTACATGCAAATTGAACCTAAGATTGCATGAAATTAAAACATGACAATTTTTTATGATTTTAAAAAAATATTAAAAATGCATGAAATGCAACTAAATAAAGAAAAACTTCTAAAATCCCTTAAAAAAAATTTTTGTTTTATTTTTAGGAGTTATTTTCATGTAGGGCAAAAATTAGGTGCTCACAGAGACCGGGTGGCTTGCTTCAGCAGATGGATATTCCAGAGTGGAAGTGGGAGCGGATCACCATAGACTTTGTAGTTGCGCTCCCACGGACATTGAAGAAGTTCGATGCTATTTGGGTGATTGTGGATCGGCTGACCAAGTCCGTGCACTTTATTCCTGTGTGTAATACTTATTCTTCAGAGCGGTTGGCAAAGATCTATATCCGGGAGATTGTTCGTTTGCATGGTGTCCCAGTTTCCATCATTTTAGATAGGGGCACTCAGTTTATTCGCAGTTTTGGAGGTCTGTGTAGCGAGAGTTGGGTACTCAAGTGGAGTTGAGCAGAGCTTTTCACCCTCAGACGAACGTACAGTCCGAGCGCACTATTCAGATATTGGAGGACATGTTGTGTGCTTGTGTCATTGATTTCGGAGGGTCATGGGATTAGTTTCTACCGCTCGCAAAATTTGCATATAACAACAGCTACCAGTCGAGTATTCAGATGGCTCCATATGAGGCTTTGTATGGGAGGCGATGTAGATCTCCAGTTGGTTGGTTTGAGCCGTGTGAGGCTAGGCTATTGGGGACAGACTTGGTGCAAGATGCTTTAGAAAAGGTAAAGGTAATGCAGGAGAGGCTTCGTACAGCGCAGTCGAGACAAAGGAGTTATGCTGACATGAAGGTTCAAGATGTGTCCTACATGGTTGGTGAGAAGGTTCTGTTGAAGGTTTCACCCATGAAGGGTGTTATGAGATTTGGTAAGAAGGGTAAATTGAGTCTTCGGTTCATTGGGCCTTTTGAGGTGCTTCGGAGGATTGGGGAGGTGGCTTATGAGCTTGCCTTGCCACCCAACTTATCGAGTGTGCATCCGGAATTTCATGTTTCTATACTCTAGAAGTATATTGGGGATCTGTATCATGTTTTGGATAGTTAGATGGTGATTTGACTTATGATGTAGAGCGAGCAGCTATTTTGGAGCGTCAGGTTCGAAAGTTGAGATCAAAGGATATAGCTTCAGTGAAAGTGCAGTGGAGAGTTTGTCTCGTAGATGAGGCTACTTGGGAGACCAAGCAGGAGATGCGGAGTAGATATTCTCACCTATTTGAGGTTTCAGGTTTGTTTCTTGACTCGTTCGAGGACGAACGTTTGTTTAAGAGGGGAGGATGTAATGGCTGGCCGGTCGTTTCATGAGTTACCACTCCGTTTCCCCCATTTCTGCTTCTTATTGCCTTGTTCAATTGTATTTTGTGCTATCGGGTTGGTTGGCTCGGGTTCGGAGTGGTTTTGGTAAGGTTTGGGACACTTAGTCTCTTTTGAGTAAGCTTAAGTTGGAAAAGTCAACCGAATGTTGACTTATGTGTTAAAGGGCTCGGATGTGAATTCCGATGGTTTGGATAGCTTCGGGAGGTGATTTGGTACTTAGGAGCGTGATCGGAATGTGTTTTGGAGGTCCGGAGTAGATTTAGACTTGAATTGGCGAAATTGGAATTTTGGTGTTTTCCGGTTGATAGGTAAGATTGATATAGAGGTCGAAATGGAATTTCGGGAGTTGCAGTAGGTCCGTTGTATCATTTGGGATGTGTGTTCAAAATTTCAGGTCATTCGGACGTGGTTTGATAGACTTTTTGATCGAAAGAGGAATCTGGAAGTGTTTAGAATTCTCAGACTTGAATCTGATGCAAATTTGGTGTTTTGATGTTGTTTTTGAGCGTTCCGAAGGTTGAAAAAAGTTTGAATGATATTATGGGATATATTGGCATGTTTGGTTGAGGTTCCGAGGGCCTCGGGTGAGTTTCGGGTGGTTAAACGGATGAAATTGCATGTTGAGAAGTTGCAGATTTTGCTTCAGGTCTGTTGCAAACCTTTTGTTCTTCGCGATCGCATAGAAGGGGTTGCGATCACGTAGGCTTAGGTAGGGGCTGAGGCAGAGTTTCCCTACGCGATCGCATAGAGTTGGTTGCGATTGCATGGGTCTATGTGGTGTACCTTCACGTTTGCGTGAGTCTTGTTGTGATCGTGTGGGTCTGCGTGTTATTGCTTCGCGATCACGTAAGGTTAAGCGGGGGCAGTCAGCTTTTATGTTTCGCTATCGCAATGCTACTTTCGCGATCGCAGTGAAGGAAATTTAATAACTGGGCAGAATGTTTAAAAAGGCCATTTCCGCAATTTTTAGCCTAAGTTCCTCCATTTTTTGCGATTTTGAAGCTTTTTGAAGGGAATTGAAGAGGGAATCAATGGGGAACACTTGGAGGTAAGATTTATGGACTTAATACTCAATACTAATGTGATTTCTACCTAATTAATCATGGAAATTGTTGAATTAAGCCTAATTATTGAAGAAGTAGGGCTTGTAATTGGAGACTTAGAATTTGGGATTTGAGGGGCCGTTTGTGATTGGATTTTGGTGCTTATGATATGAATGAACTCGGGGAGTGATAAGGAGTCTATTGATGTAATTTTTATCGGATTTTGAGACGTGGACCCGGGGGTCGGGTTTGGCCAATTTCGGGATTTTGTGTTGTAATTTGATTTCTTTCGAGTGGGCTTTGTTCCTCAGCATATTTTGATGGTTTTGCACTGATTTTGGTTATATTTGGCACATCCGGAGGCCGATTTTAAGAGGCAAAGGTGTCGCGAGCTAGAGTTTGGACCGGATAGAGGTGAGTAATGATTGTAAATATTGTCCTGAGGGTATGAAACCCCAGATTTCACATCGTTGTGCTATATTGAGGTGACGTACACGCTAGATGACGAGCGTGGGGTCATGCACCGTTGGGGATTTAGTCCATCCCAAATAACTATTGTACCGCATATTTGATTAAAAAATTGTTTGCTATCATCATGTTTTGGGCTGAATGCCATATTTGGGCCCCGTGTCAACTATTTGGACCCTTAGGGGATGTTTACTGCTACTTCCTCATTGTTTTAATTTTATATCTGCACTCAATCATGCTATATCCTACTGTTTTCATAACTCAGTCATGTTTACTCTGTTTTAACACTTTAAATGATATTTTGGGCTGAGCATCATGTTATATTGTACCCGAGTGGCTTTTATAGATTTCTGACTAAGCAGGGCCGAAGGCCTGTGTTGTGAGGATTATTATGGGATCGGGTTGTATGCCGCAACAATGTTGTATTGATTATGATTATGAGCCCGAGGGCCTAAGTTGTACGCCACAAGGTGGCTTGATATGAGGCCGAGAGCCTATTTGATTATGCTACGAGATGGCTTGATATTGCGCTTGGGTCGTAAGAGGCCCCTCCCGGAGTCTGGACACCCCCAGTGAGTGCGGGTACCCATTGTGATATGAGATATAACCCGAGGGGCTGGTGTTGTTCTATGTTATTGCCCGAGGGGCTGATTCTATTGATATGGTGCCCGAGGGACGGATTTTATGTGTTTATCTTTTCTAGTTGCCTTTCATTTACTTGTTTAACTGTTAAAAAAGTGTTTTAAAGAAGCTTATTCTGAACTAAGGTGTTTTTATAAGATTTCACTGTTTCATTGCCTTTTATTGGTTTTACACTACTTCTTTATAACATGTTGTTGTGTTTTACATGATTTCTTATCGCAGTCTTCATTTATTTTTATTACTCACTGAGTTGAAGTACTCACTTTACTCCCTGCACCCTGTGTGCAGATTCAAGTTCTTCAGGTCCCGCCAGTGAGGGTTGATTACTCAGCAGGCTATTCGGAGTCCACTAGGTAGCTGCTCGACGTTCGCAGTCCAGTGTTTCTCCCTCCGATTTTATTTCCCTTGTTCTAGTCATGTAATAGATTGTATAAACTCTTTCATACTCTTAGACTATGTTAGATGCTCATGACTAGTGACACCCCGATGTCGGGATGTATTTGGTTTTCCGCAGTTGATATAGTTCACTCTATTATGGGATTTATCATTATTAATGACTTAATTATGAATTATTATCTGTTAATTTAATTGGGAGTTTGTGTTGGCTGGCCTTATCTTCACGAAAGGCGTCATCACGACCGGGTCTGGGTTTAGGATCGTGACAAAAAGGCATAACTTTTTATATACCCAGAATATTTTATTAAGCAAGAAGAAAACAAGATCCAAGAGAATGATTCAAGTTTTATTCAGTGTTAATAAAAGAATTTTTATTAAAAAAAATTGCGGGGCGGAGCGGGAAGAGTGCAAGACGGGTGAACGCGAATTTAAATCCTATGCGGGGCGGGGCGAGTCTAAATTGCGCGGCTTCAAACAGAACCTGCCCCGCCCCACCTGCCATTTTTAGGTATTAATACTACCAACTTTTAAAGGAAGATGTAATACATGTATAGGTAATTTTGGCCCTTTTCCGAGAAAAATTACTCAACTTGAAAGAATATAGTTATGGACATAGAAAAATTAAAGGGAAATTACTAGTTATGTTAGCACATAAGTAAGTTAGTACAAAAATTAGCCAATTTATAAAATATTAGCTAATTAGTTACTTGTAGCAAAAAAAAAATTAAATTTTCGCTT